TTAATATTTTATTGCCCTTGTTCTTAAAAGAATCTATTGAAATGTTCTCAAAGATTTCTTCGCTCGGTGCCATTTTAAGTTGGCTGATGTTATTTATACCGGCTTCTTTTTCAAGCCTTTGGAAAAATTGACCTAAGTCGAAGGTTCCATTAGTATAAAGGTCGCTAACTTTAATTCTTACAAATATCTTTTTTCCCATGTTTAAAGAAACACTTAGTCGAAGATAAATGTAAGGTCACTACTTTTTTAACATCATCATTTTGTATGACGTTGTATATATTGGGCTTTGAAGAGATCGATTGCTTTTGCAATTCTGTGTTTGAACCTGCGCAGGTTTTTTGTCTACTTTGATATCTTGTAGTGACTTTTAGTACTGTATTGGTTGTCTGTATATTCTTTAGGTCTTTAATGGTTATTCTTGATAACGCATCTGCTACGAAATTGTCTTTACCCTTTAGATATTCTACTGTGAAGTCATATTCTTCTAACTCGAGCCGCATGCGTGTAAGTTTAGAACTTGGGTTAACCATCGAAAATAAGTACGTTAGTGGTCTGTGGTCCGTTTTCACTGTAAAGTGTTTTCCATAAATATATGGTCGAAATGAGTAATTGCCCAATGAATTGCTGCTAATTCTTGTTCAGTTGTACTTTTGTTACTTTCGCCCTTGGTGGAATGATCTGGACGCGTATGCAATAGGGAGTTGGAGATCTTTATGGTTTTGAGTTAAAACCGCTCCACACGCTTGCTTACTTGCATCCGTTATTATACAAAATTCTTTTGTGAAGTCTGGGTATTGTAACAAAGTTGGCTTGATGAGTTGATCTTTTAAGTGTAAAAATGCATTTTGGCATTCATCTGACCACTCAAATGGAACATTCTTTTACATAATCTGGTTATGTGCCGGGAATAGTCGGCGAAGTTTCTAATAAAACGTCTGTAATAATTGCAGAATGCAACGAATCTTCTAGCGCTGTCCGCGTCGTGCGGGACTGGATAATTTTTGATGACGTCATATTTCTTGTCATCTGGCAAGATTCCTTTATCAGTGCATTTATGACCGAGAAAGGTCACTTCATGCATAAAAAATGAACATTTTTGTGGATGTAATTTTAGGTTGTGTTTCCTACATACCTCAAAAATATCTTGTAAGTTTTTGAGCATATGTTTTTCGGAACAACCAATGACTATAAGATCGTCCATATATAGGAATGCTTGCGAAGCTTCAAGTCCAGAGAATGCAATAGTCATCATTCTCTGAAATGAATTTGGCGCTATTTTTAAACCAAATGGTAATCGCGTGAAGCGATATGAGCCATTGCTCGTTGAGAAAGACGTTATATTTCTTGAACTTTCTTCTAGTTCAATTTGATGAAAACCTGACATTAAGTCAAGGCATGAGAAGTATTTCGCTCTACCTAGTTGATCCAAAATGTAGTCAATTCTAGGTAATGGAAATTTATCGGACAGAAGTTTTTTGTTTATTTGACGATAGTCAACTACTAATCGCCATTTCTTTTGTTCAGTGCCAGGAAGGGCTTTCTTTGGTACAAGCAGAAGGGGGCTGTTATATTCTGACACTGATGGTTCGACTATTTTGTCGTCTATTAATTTCCCTACTTGTTTCTGTATTTCTTCAACTTGGCTATGCGGGCTTCGATAGTTTTTGATGTATACTGGTTCGTCATCCTTCAATCTCAATTTTTGTTTATAAAAATTATTTGTTGTTATTGATTCGGTGTCAAGCCCGAATATGTCACTATATTTGGAACATAATTCCGTTAATGGTTGTTTGAATGGAGCTGGAAAATTCTTTGTGAGCTGAGCTAGGACAGTTTGTTCCCTGATTTTAGAAGTTGTTTGAACTACATTGTAATTCGAAAGTGGTTCATATTTTAAATTATTTATATTAATTAATTGGTCGGTACTGGTTGTATTCAGTAATCGGACAAATGCATTTTGCGTGGTTGCAACTGTGTTTGCAACAAAAATACCAGTTTGGATTTCCTGGTTTGGAATTAGAACATTATCTTCACTTGAAGTTAGTTCTATTTTTCGGATAACTTGTGATCTTGCTGGTAGAAGTATTGTATTGTTACCAGAACTGTATGTTATTGGAACATAAATGTGAATGTTTATATTGTTTGGTCGTATTATAAACCAGTCTTCTGAAGGTTTTAGATCAATTTGACAATTTAATGCTTTTATAAAATCAATCCCTATTATTCCATCACATGGGATTGCGAAATTTTTGTTTACTAAATGGAAATTGTGAGGAATTATGTATTTATCTGTCTGTAGCTCTATTGGTGCAAGGCCTAGGGATTTTATAATACCTTCACCTATACCTTGAATGTCTATTTTATTGTTTATTTGTATGTCGTTGAAGACATCTGAAGTTTCTTTTATTAGCGATATGTTCGCTCCTGTATCTACTAGGAATGTTAGATGTTTTCCTGTTGTGGCATTGTCAAATGACACGAAAATGTTAAGATTGAGATTGATGGTTTGAACCGTTGTTTTTATTGTTGAATATCTAAAGGTGCTTGGGAGTTTCCCGAAGCTGTCTGGGTAGCACGGACATTGTTTTGTCGTGTACCTCTATTATTGTCGTATTGGTTGTTATAGGTGTTTCCGTTTCCACGGTTATTTCCTCTATAACCACCACGACCTCTATAGTTATTTGAATGCTGATTATTGTTATAACTGTTGATGTTGTTATAACCACGGCCATTTCCTCTACCACGATAGTTACCTCTATAGGTACTACCGCGGTATGCCTGACCTCGTCTGGTATACAATATGGAATTTGCATTACCAGTCATGTCAGTGGAACATTGGATATATTTTGTTATGGCATCATTCATTGTAGGGAATGTGCCTGCTTCTAGAATGGTTTTAAGTCTGCCATGCTCACAATTTTTAACCATTGTGCTAATGGCTTCTTTGCTGCTGAATTTATCAGCGTGCTCAGCTGGCAGACCCTCATCGATGTATGATGCTTCTAGGGAGTTTTCTCATCTCGTCGATTTCTTTTGTAAATTCTGTGGCTGTTTTGCCTTTTTGGCATATTTTTGCCATTTTGGCCTTAACTACGTCAGATGTTTCACCGACAATTGTAGTTTTCAATTTTTGAATGATCGACTGGATGGTCGTTTCATCCTGGACTTTGTATAGTGTAGATCCGATTATTTTGGATTTTATCACTTCGACAGCTAGAGATTCATAAGGCCCTTTTGTCAAATTGACTAAGTTAATGGCAGTAATGAATCTCTGCATATGGATCTTTTGTCCATTGAATTCAGGGATAGCGTGTGAAATGTCTTTAATATATGCCCGTTGGGCAATCGTTTCATCGGCCATTGCAACGGGTTTTACTTCCGTTACGCTATTAAAGGAATCTGAGTCCGAAAAGTCTAGCTCCTCTTCCTCTACTTCTGGTATTTTTAGTACCGCGAGGATTGTTAGATCGTGTAGATCTTTTTCTTCAATTTCCTGTTCTTCTACTGATTCCTAGCTGGATCGGCAAGGTCAATCTCCTTGTCTTGGCTTGATCCTGGTTTTTCAATGTCTATGTTTATAGGAGTATTGAGTATTGTGGGGATTGAAATATCCAATTTGAATTTATTTTGGATCGTTATCAAGTTCGATCGAAGTCTGATCAAGAGCTTTGATACTTTCGACCAATTTTTATTTATGATATTTGTCCTATTTATGTGGATTAGCTGGCGTGCTTCATTAAAGCATTCCACTAATATAAACGCATGTTTTTCAATTGTTGCCTTTTGTATCGGCCTGTTTTGCGTAATGGATTTATAAGATTTATCAAACCTATTTTTGATGTCTAATAGTGAATTATGGATTTCATTCCATTCCATTATTGGGATTTAATTTCTAAATACTACAAAGTCAATGACTCTGCCCAGAATGGAATTCTCAGTAATGACTGACTTGACTATTATACCTGGAATGGTAGTTAATACGATTGCTTTCTGTGTTCTTGAGCAATCGATTAAAGGGGAAAAATCTAATTGATATGTATCCATGTACATATATTCGAGCTCTAATATGCTCTTAGGGGTCGTTGAGACCAATTGTTGGATTCTATCCGAAAACTGTGGGTCCCTAATGTGGACTTTCCTAATGGCCTCTACTGTTGGCATAATTTTTTTTTTTTTTGTTGATTTTAAACCCTGTCCAGATCGTTTGCCCTACTCATATATCTTTTCTTTATGATTTTGTTATGCTTAACATACAATGTTAAGAGAAATTGCAAAACGTTTACGATCGTTAAGATCAGCAACAAAAGCCATAAAGCTTGAATACCATCTGTGTGATCAATAATTTTGACATTATTGACCACGTTGGCCGTATTGTCTTTGGTCTGACTATCGTCAGACCCGAACCAACCCATGGTTTTTTTTTTTGATTTTATATTTAAAATTTCTTTTGATTTTGAGAACTACTTGGATGTATACATATGTATTTATGTATTTTGTTAAAATTTATTTTTTTTTAATTATAGGAAGTAGTGAAATAATGAAAATAGTTGTTAGGGCATATGGCTGATTTACATTTATTTGCTCGATATAATTCCAATATCAGCCATATGTTGTTATTTAAAGCCTTTCGTTAAAAAAAATTGGTTAGTTTTTTTTGGTTAGCCTGTTGTTGTTGCCACTGGCACCATTCACGGGCCGAGCCCTAATAAAAACGACATTATAACCCAACTCCTGCAGCTTTTCCTTGATCCAGTGGGTAGGAGTGGCATTTTTTTTTAATTGTGTATTTGCAGCGATCATTGATCGTCTGACTCTTTATTGTTTATCTTATTACTAGTTATTATTAGCAACATCTATAAAACATAACTGGCAACATAAGTCTGAGACAATTTTTTTGGGGTTTTTTTTTTTTTTTGGGGTTACATAGGGTTAACATTTTTATACATTTATACATTTTATCGATAGGTTTGTTTACATTACTTTTTTTCTTGTTTCGTGGTCCTCAAACCTTTCCAGCAGAGCCGCGTACAATTGGATAGCTTGAGAGGCGTGATCAGCCTGGCGAGCGTGTATTTCGTTAGGGGCTGCACTCTTCAACTCGGGAACAGACTTGGCAGGTAAACGTGTGGTTGTTGTGTTGTGTGTTGACGCTAGGTCAGCCCGTCCGCACCTGTGGCTGACCGTTGTAGCAGGTTAGGTGTAAGTTTTTGTTTTCCTTCAAGCACCAATTGTCAGCAATTTCTCTATTTCAGTGCACCAGAGTGAGCAACTGCAAGAAGTGTTTTTGTTAGTAAAGGTTGGCTTGGGGTTGGTGGGTGTATTTATTTTGATTTTTTATTTTTTTTTTGTCTGTTTTGTTTTAATTTATTTTATTTATTTGTTTTAGGTTTTATGGATTGAATTAAAGTACAACAGGACTGGAGAAGTTGGATTTATTTATGAATTTTAATTAATGATTTTTTTGGCGTGTCTAAGTGTCTTTTTTTTTTGTGTGTGTGAATTATGTTTTTTTTTTTGTTTGTTACTTTTTGTGAGTAGATTTGAGTTGTTGCTTTTGTTGTGTTTGTGTGTTAGTGCATATATATTTAATTATAAATGTTTATTTATGTAGATAGTGTCTCTTGTTGTTTTCTTTTCGTTTCAGGTACAGTTTATGTTGGCTTCCGGATATGATTGTGTTGGTGAGTATTTATTTTAATTTTTTGTTTGTTTGATCTGTTTTGTTTTAATTTATTTTATTTATTTGTTTTAGGTTTTATGGATTGAATTAAAGTACAACAGGACTGGAGAAGTTGGATTTATTTATGAATTTTAATTAATGATTTTTTTGGCGTGTCTAAGTGTCTTTTTTTTGTGTGTGTGAATTACGTTTTTTTTTTGTTTGTTACTTTTTGTGAGTAGATTTGAGTTGTTGCTTTTGTTGTGTTTGTGTGTGTCTTTTTTTGTTTTGTTTCAGGTACAAGTTAGGTTAGCTTCAGGTGTGATTGTGTAAGTGAGAATTTTTTTTATTGCGTTTGCTTGTCTTATTTTATTTTTTTTTTTAATTTATTTATTTTAGGTCTTATGCAAGGTGGTCGGAGTGAGGCCGGTCGAAGGCTATCCGTGTAGTTGAGCGAGGCCCTCCTGCTCGTCTCCTTTGTGGTCCGGAAGTATTATCTTTTGAATGGTGGGTGGCTGGCCCCAGACTCTTTCCAGGATAGTTTCTCTACTTATTCGTCCATTTGCATATAGTTTTCTATAATTATTAATCTCTAGTTCGCAAAATCTGTCTGGGGGTTTTCTAGGTATATTTTTTCGCTCCTCCTCTCGTCTCGCTTCTTTTTCTATCTCAACTCTCTCCTGTTCCTCGTTTTCTAATCGAAGCAGTATGGGAAGACTCTCTCGTAGTATATTTGTTTGTCTTACTAGGACTTCTCTTTGCTCGGTCTTCGGGTAAGTGTGGATTGATCTATATTCTGTTTCTGGTTGAACTTGTATCTGTCCTTGTTTAAGGGGTAGGATGTGTGTCTGAAGCTGAAGGTCGTACCTGTAACGGCTAAAGCTTAGTCTGCTGGGGACGTGTGGGTTTAAAAACAGACGGGTCACTTCTGGGTTTATGTGGCCTATGAGTGAATTAGCAAAGCGTTTACTTGCTTTTTCATATACTTCCTCTACTGTTTGAATATTGTATATTTCTCTAATGTCTGTGTTTCTGGTATATCTGGAAGCTTTAGTTGATTTCCTCATTAATTTATTTTGCAGCATTTGTATATTTTTTATTTGCGTATTGGAAGCAAGAGCTCCCCATATTGGTATTGCATAGTGCCAAATTGGCATTATAAGTTGTTTTACTATTGTAACCTTGCAGTCTCTGGGCAGTCGGCTACCATTTCCAATAAGCCATTCCAGTTTAATAGCCGCAGATCTCGCTTTGTTTGTAATAGTCTTGATGTGAGGGCATAGGTTTAGCCTTTGGTCAAGGGTCACCCCGAGATATGTTTGCATTCTTTTGTTCGGAATACTCTGTAGGCTTGGCTTGTCCCTTTGCTCAACAGGAGCAGCGTTGAGGAGATCCGTCTCCAGCTTGATCCAGCGATGGCACAAGTGGCGTGAGGCCTCTCATGCATATATTAATTAATCCAGCGGCGGTGAAAGGGGCGGTCCCTTGCCTCTCTCACTTTACTGACGTATGTTGGGCGCTCTTCGTAGCGCTGTCGGTGGCCGGTTTGGACTTTTTTCTTCATTTATTTTTGGTGGTTTTTTTTTTTTTCACATCACGGTGGGTGCTCTATGTAGCACTGTCGGTGCCTTTTCAGGTCTTTATCTTCTTTTATGTCAGCACGCTTCTTGTTTATTTTTTTTTTTTTTTTTAGAACACATGATTAGCTTCGGTTGGATTTTTTTTTTTTTTTGAAAATCCAGTAATTTATTAGAGGCAATTTAAACGTGAAATTTGGATATGCAGAATTATTTTTGGGTCTCACTGTTCACGGTCATTTGGAAGTGTATTTTAAATGTTTTTGCAGAATTATTTTTTGGTCTCATTGTCACGGTCGCCATGTAAATACAAATTATTAAACAGAGACATCCGTCTCCTTCGATATAACTTTATTCAATGTATTTCTGATATTCTTACAGTTATAGCTTAAGCTAAGGCCGCGCAGCTGCGCTGCCAGGAATGCCGGCAGCGGAGCGGCCGCATTTATATGTTTGTTATATATGCCCAGCGCTGTTGATAGCGGGGGGCGCGAGGGGAATATGCACATGCTTGTGTGGATCATATTCAAGTGCCGTCGGCTATGCTATACATGCCGACGCTGCACTAATGTAGTACCAGGCATATATGTGTGATCGTATTTCGTCGCACTGAATATGCCTGGGAATGTTTATTGCATAAACACTGCAACAAAGTGTTACAGTGTGTTCCCTTTTAAGTACTCTTGGTACAGTGGGTATTGGCTATATATATGCATACTACACAACACTGATATATATATAATAATACAACACTGATATAGTTTTGCAAATCAGCCGAGATTTGCAAATCAGCGGAAATTTTAAACCATGTACGTATGTATGTCTGTACAAGTATGTATGTATAGAGAAAAAGAGAGTGCATGCGATAGTGTGTTTCGTTTCTGTGGCCTTATAACTGTTATACAAGCCCTCCTAACAACACACACACACACACCAACAATCCATTCACACACGCCTTCCTCTGACTAAGCCCGTGAGAGCTCTGATTGATGAGAACATCGTAGGTCAGGTCAGTGATATGGGTGGCACGACTGTTCGTGCTTCTGTGTGGATAGGAATCGTCGCTCCGTCGGGGCACCTCGGCATTGGCATCCGTCGCCGTCAGGTACACGAAGCTGGAGTTGTGCACCTCCCCCTGCGCTGGCCATGTGCCTGACCGATCTGAGCGACCAGTTCGCCGGTCTCCCCATTGCTACTGGTGCTGGGATTGGCGCTGCCCAGCACCGCCGCACTCGGCGATTCTTGAGGATGAGGTAATGCCTTCTTGTTGGGTACTGGACGAGCCAGTGGCGTCTGACCTCGGCGGCTGAGTCCTGCGACGCGAGGCAAAAAATTTCTCTTTGGCTGGCCAGCGGGTGGATGTGAAGCAGGTGCCGGATAGGGCGCAGCCGCAGCAGATCGGGCTGCTGCCATGGTCGGAGGATGGGAATTGCAAGGCAGTAGGCTAGTAGGCGAGTGCCCAATTGAAATAATAGTCAGACTTAAATTTGTTTAAAAAAGAGCTACAAATTTGGTTTACGCTAAGTCAAATAAAAAAAAATAAAATAAAAACTACCGTACGTACAGGTCGAAAACGATCAGAGAAGAATTTCCGAGCCACGGAACGAAGGCTGATGAACCAAATCCAATCCCTACGAATGACTCTTCGAATCAATGACAATAACATTTTTTTTTTCTCAATATGCATTGTTAAGCAAGCTCAATTTCAAGCACTGCATGCGGAAACGAGTCCATACAGTTAGTCAAAAGAAGGCTCTTTTATTCTTATTGTAGTACGGAATTGCACTTTCCGTGCAAACTCACCTCCCCCCTGCGCTGGACAACTTTTCTAAAAGTTTTATTTGATATCCATTAATATAGTAGAATGGAAACCGCATCAAAGGTTGTTTTGATGTTCCCATACTTCCGCTGGAAATTTTTCCAGAAAGATCTGTCCACCGGCTTATACGAGTCGCTAATACGGGAAGATTGATATATGTCTCCGTAACCGCAGAAGATCACACAATAAATTGCCACCGCTTAGTCCTCTTAATATGATCGCAAAGATAAAACACTTTTTTGACTCAAAGGCGCCTAACGGCCACACCTTTTTATTGTATTTTTTTCGTATTAAGTGAAATGAGTAATGCATGCGGAAAGAAGTCCAAAGAGCTGGTCAAACATAGGCTCTTATTGTAATACGGAATTGCACTTTCCGTGTAAACTCGGCAAAATAGAAAAAATTCCATCAGTTAAAAAAAAAATATTTAAGCCCTGAACTTTTGCGTGAATTCAGATGGGAAAAGAAGGAGGAGCCTAAAGAGCTGATCAGCTTTGGTCGTGGCTTCGAAGCTGAAAATGTACTGGGCGACACGAACAGGCACGACTAAGCATATTTGATGGCTCTATGTGTGCACACCAACAAGTGCGCCCAGGCTGCGAGAACACCTCGGAGCCAGGAGAAAATGTTGAAAGCTCCTGTAAATACGAATTATTAAACAGAGACATCCGTCTCCTTCGATATAACTTTATTCAATGTCTTTCTGATATTCTTACAGTTATAGCTTAAGCTAAGGCCGCGCAGCTGCGCTGCCAGGAATGCCGGCAGCGGAGCGGCCGCATTTATATGTTTGTTATATATGCCCAGCGCTGTTGATAGCGGGGGGCGCGAGGGGAATATGCACATGCTTGTGTGGATCATATTCAAGTGCCGTCGGCTATGCTATACATGCCGACGCTGCACTAATGTAGTACCAGGCATATATGTGTGATCGTATTTCGTCGCACTGAATATGCCTGGGAATGTTTATTGCATAAACACTGCAACAAAGTGTTACAGTGTGTTCCCTTTTAAGTACTCTTGGTACAGTGGGTATTGGCTATATATGCATACTACACTCCACCTTCATATCCGCATTAGAGGAGTGATTAAAAAACGAGCAATCGGCAAATCGTCGTTATACACTGTGCGCAACCAACAAATATCGTACACGATCTGAGAAGAAATTCCGAGGCACGGACACGATGGCTGAAGCTACCTCCACATCCAAAAACATGCATATCAGCAAGTCCAGGAATTCATGAACGAGGAGGACAAGACCTCATTTCTTGTCCTTTTGATAAATCCATACGAATGACTCTTCGAATCAATGATAATTAAATTTTTTTTCTCAATATGCATTCTTAAGAGGAAGGAAAACCAGCCAATAAAAAATAGCAATCATTAACAATATATAAGCCACACATGTGTGACACAGTATTTTTAAATGTTCAACAATGTTTTTAAATATGTAGTAGACGACAGCTTGTAAGATGTGTTCCCCACGGAGAAAAAATTGAAATGATGCTTCCGTGCTGAGGACTGCCGTATTTATACCATTTTCGTTACGCACACACACACACACACACACGTATGCAAGCAGAATTGCTCTCAGTGCTGCCAAATTTTCATAAGAAAAAAGCTGTTTCTAGCTTTAAGAAAAAAAATATATATATATTGATTTTACCAAAACTTGAGGTGATATTTGACATAATTGTACAGTATTTTTATATATCGCTGGAGAGGTAAACTGACAAAGTCTGTTTTGTTTTTTGTTTGACGCGACTTATTGCACTTGAGTGCGCTTTTGTTTATACATGGGCGCGTATATCACGTAGCTTGGCTGTGATTTTGCAATAGCTGCCGTAAACTGTAAACTCGTCCGTGTCATCCATGCAAACATTTCTTAAAGCATCAAGAATTTCCGCTTTCCCGCAATTACCAAATTTTTTCATTCAAAATATCCAGATAAGACGAAAAAAAGCTAAGTCGGCAGCCCTGGTTGCTGTACACAAGAGGTCGGATGCAGCTGCAAGAAAACGTACAGTTGCGTGATAGGAGCGAGCGAGAAAAATGTATATGGGTTTGCCGTGCTGTTCTTGCTACACGTAGCCACTAACCATACAGTATATAGATGTGCCAGTTCATACATCGAAAGGGGCGCAAGCTGAGTGTTCTGTCCCGGCTCCCAGCGCTTCGGCTCTGTGAGGCTGAGACACTCGGGTCGGGAGCCAGGCCATTCGGGTCGGGAGCTGGGCCGTTCGGCATGTATGACTCATGTCGGGAAGCGAAAGCAAGCTGAGAATTGCAAATGTATGTGTGTAAACAGACACGACAAAATTTTGTATCAATTCTTATTTTCCGAAACCGTTTTGAGTTTGTTTTGAGTTTCGTTTCCAGGTTACGTAAATGTGTGTGTGCCATGTATTCACACATACTGTGCTTGTGTGTGGGCTCTACAATTCACTATGGGAAATTTGACCCCTTTTTCTGGCCAAAACCCATTTTCTGAAAGTCGGAATATTAAAACAAATTTTAGTGCAACGCATTCACAATACTTCAATCTTTAGTGTTGCATCACAGAAATCTTGTTAGAGGGCGCCACATCGAAGGAATCAGCTGATAAACACAGCTGTTTCATTTGCAAAGCACATGCTTCTGCAATATTAGGTTTTTTTTGCTAACTTCAAGTGGCCAAAAAACAAAAACCAAACAATATTACTCAAATTTTTCAAATGAATTCTAATCAGTGTGGTTTTTATTATGTGTTTGTGAACTTCTCATGTAGAAAAAACTCGTGTTGTCCCCTTAATAGAGCCAAAATATAAGTAGCCTTGTAAATGCATATTTTTGATAAAGTCTCATCTTGCAAAAGGGATTTAAAGTGAGTCCAGCAGAGTCCGTCAACAAGATGTATTTTATGTTGTAGAGTATTAAATTCTTGTTCAAATGAATGTAATTAAAAATAACACTTTTTACGATTTTGCGAGAAATTTCAATTTTTAGGACATAACCTCAATTTGGCAAACTCAGATTTTTTTGTCAAGTGTGGGGAATCAAGGGGAAAAGTCGCAAAGGAGGATGCTGTGTTTATAAGAAAGAGGTTCTTTAGCGAAAAGATGAAGTCCAAGGCCTATTTTGGGACCACCTTTCGTTTAAAGTTGATCAACCGAAAGTTGGAGGATTTGGCAGTACCAACGATAGTAACACTGCTCAGCGAGCATTTTCCGATCCTCATGCTTTTTCCAACATCACTGGTATCGATGAGCAGCTAATTGCAAATTTACATACGATTTTGATATGCCTTTCATGCCAGCTGCCAATTTCTGTTCCAAAATTTCAAGCTTTTTGTTATCGTACTGCCGAGATAATCATTGATAAATACCCTTGGCTGCCAATGACCACAAGTGTTCATACAATTTTAATTCAAGCAAGGGATAT